TTTCTTTTCTTCCTTCCTTCCTTCCTTCCTCCCTCCCTCTCTCTCTTTCTTTCTTTTTCTTTCTTTCTTTCTTTCTTTCTTTCTTTCTTTCTTTCTTTCTTTCTTTCTTTCTTTCTTTCTTTCTTTCTTTCTTTCTTTCTTTCTTTCTTTCTTTCTTTCTTTCTTTCTTTCTTTCTTTCTTTCTTTCTTTCTTTCTTTCTTTCTTTCTTTCTTTCTTTCTTTCTTTCTTTCTTTCATTATGTTCATTTATTTATTTATTTTTAATGGAGGTCCTTAATCCCCAGGACCTTGTGCATGCTAAGCACGTGCTCTACCACTGACATGTACCCTCCCCCTAATTTCTAATTTTCAATAATTGTACCATGGTCATTTAGAGAAAGGTAGACAGGAACTCTCACTGTACTATGTTCGTAACTCCTAAGTCTAAAGTTTTAAAACTAAAATAAAAATTTTAAAAAAGGAGATAATCGGACAAGAGCGGCCTTAAAAGACGATGCACTGGGTTGTGGAGCTCAGTGCTGGCTGGAGGCCAAGACCTGGAGTGTCTTGTTACAGCAGCAGGACTTGACTGTCTGAGGGGGTCCATCTGGTTTACATGCACGGTGGGCTGAGTCCTCTGGGGAGGGACACCCATGTCCCCTCTTCCAGTCCTGAAGTTTTTGGCTCGAATCACTGAATCCACAAGCCTCATCTTGAATCTTAGACAATCATTAACCTGTAATTTCAGTTGCCGTGGAGGCCTCAGAATGAGTCTTTGAAGATGGGTGTACACTTTGTATCCTACACTGATAATTTTGAGAGATCTATTTATAAAATGACAAATTTTTGCAACAATTATACCATTTTAATATGAACTTGAATACAAATTTGAATATATGCATGTTGCATACGCATAACTATTTGAGGTGCGCGGAGCAATTAAGAGTAACTGCTTAATTGGACTTGAAATATGGAGGGTGATTAGCTAAATTGAATTAACTAAATCTGTGTTTCATTTGACTCTCCTAAAATGCAGAAAACCATTTGATTTATCAAAAATGAACCTTTTGTGAATCACCATGCTGTGCACCAGAAATTAACACATTATAAATTGACTACATTTCAATAAAAATTGTTTGATTCAGTAATTTTCAGGAGATGTTTAAATGCTTATGAAGGTAATTGGAGAGTTTGGGAAATCAGGTACATTAAATTTGTGATTGTAGTTTAAAAAGTTTAAGAGCATTTAATTAATCATGTTGATAAATAGTGTTTAAATGTTCAGGAGAACTTACTTCTAATAGCTTTTGTGTGCTTGCGACTTTACTTTGAATCGTTTAAGAGAATTTGATTGTAAACAGCACAAATTATTTGGGGGAATTTAATCTGCTAGATTTTGGGGCAAAGGGGACATTAACCAAAGATCAAATGTGATTGCTTTCAATTTTCACAAACATTATTAGATATATAATTACATTTCTTATATTTGGAAATTGCATTTAGCAGCTTAAGAAAAACTAAGTTCTAAATTTACAACTGAAGATATTATAATCAATTAACAAACAGCTTTAGACAATCCTTTTCATGCACAAAAGATCTGGACGTTAAAAAAAGTCACGTGTAACGTGGCACATGGTGGGAGCTCAAACACCTGAGGATCTGAGTGTATTGAGAGGAAGAAACAGGAAGGAGCCTCAGGACCGGGGACCTTAATTCTCTGAGGAGTGGGATTCAGGGAGTTCTCTTGGGAGCTACGGGATGTGGTTCCAGTTCATCCACGCAGGCCGGGTGCCGTGACACTGACAAGTCATTTGGAGAAAGCCAACTCCTCTGTACTCATTTGCAAAGTGCAGAGGACAACTCCTGGCTGGGCTTTTGGGATTCAGGAGAGGACAGAGACGGTAAAAACAGAGGTACTTTGAAAAGAGTGAGGTGCTTATAATAAGCCTGGGTGGTCGTGGAGGGAGGAAGAAATGCTATGATGGAGGAGACAGATCTTTGTTGAACCTCTGCTCTGTGCTGTTCTCCAGGCTGCGTGCTCCCCTCCATCCTGACCTCATTTGAGAGGTGAGGAACCTGCCTGAAGTCCCAAATGGATGAACTGACGTTGGATCCTGGACGAGCACGTGACATAATCCCCTCTGTAATGGGCAGGGATCACAGCCTCAGGAAAGAAAATACATAACAGAAGCTCGGGAAATTCCTTAATGAGAACCAAGCGATAATACAGGGTGACCAGAGAAGAACAGTAAAACCCAGTAATTCAGCCAGTCTAAGCCAGGTGTCTAAACAGAAATAACTCAGAACGTGTCCTAAGTATATGACGTCCTCACAAGAAGACCTTTTAAGGGAAGTAATGGTTCTCCCACCTGAAGTTTCCAGTCACAGAGTTCTAGCTCAGCCGTCCAGTTGCTAAGATCCTAGACTTTCACCATTCAGCCAGCCTCCAAGGGTGACCCAGGCGTACAGAATTCTTCTGTCTGCAGAGGACTCAGACTAGCAGTTCTTGCCCACAGCGGCAGGTCTCTTGGACCCCACAAGGGAAACCAGGACCCCCAGAGCATCCAGACTCTGAGCACACACATTTTGGGGTTTCCCCAGCAATGATACAAGGCAATGCTACTCTGATCCCTGTTCCAAGAACGAACTCTGCAGGGGACTCACCAAGAGGGGACTTGAAAATGTAGCGCGAATCAATTTCACTGAATGTTTGGGTGGATGGAGGTATAGGAAGAAGAAAGAGGATTATCTTTCAATATTAGTTTTGATTTTTGTTTTGAATGGAAATGTGTTTCTCTGGTACAGAATTCAGAAGGGACTACAGTGAAAGTAAGTCCTTTCATCATCTGCCTTCTGATTCCCCCGCCACTTCCCTGTCTTCCTCAGAAGCAACCCGTTTCTCACGTACCTTTGCATGGTTAGTCATTGCTTATATATGCAACACATATATGTAT